AGCCTTCAGCTCTAATACTAGAAGCAGCCTAAGGGACCCCGGCAACCGTACTCGTCGAACTCCGCAAAGAGTTCGACGTGCAACCTAACCTATGCATCAGCCCGCGGAGTTTCTCGCCGGATCTTCTCAGCGGGTCGCGATTCCGATCCGGTAGTAGATTCATTCGCGAAGCAGCTGCTCTTGAGTTGTTAGGTCTCCTTCGGAGGCGCTCGGCAGCTGTTAGCAAATCCCACCCCTCCTGGCTGAGCCTTTGCTCGCCCACCTGTTCTGGTGAAACTGGAAAGGCCTGCGGGCCACCAGTAATGCATGAATCATTAAAAAAAACAAACATAATGTTTTGGGACAAGTATGTTTGAATGTAAATTACGCTATGTAATAATATAATTCACCCTTTTTCTGCCGTGAAGCAGTAATGCATTTTGGTTTGAAGGGCGGGACAGCCGCTGTAACTATACTTGAGACCTTAAAACTGATATATGAAAAGATTATCATTTCATTAGATATACAAGATTCAAATATTTACATGTATCTTGCAAATGATCCACCTAAATATCTCTTTGTCCGTTTATGTATTTAAAGGTAGACAACCTTATGACCTACATAAATTGCTAAAATGTAGTTATTATATCACCTATATAAAAACAATTAAGATTTTTTTTATTGATTTAATTACCAAGCGTCTCGACGTTATAATATCTAGTAACATAAAGTACTTTAAACAAATACTGCAATAACCCAGTTTTGTAGAGCTTAGAGACAGTATAACACCTTCGTCTCTGCTCAGAGTAGTTGGATTATAGCGTCTTCACGCTTAATTAGCTTATGCCCTCCCTTATTGTCACCCGTGTAAAAACTTTTCCCGAAATGAAATTTTCTCCAAATCTGTTTAACGGATTGCGTTTAATTGAAGTAAACTTTTAATAATATTAAGAAATGTTTTTTATAGAACGTTCACTCCTTCGCCAGGCACCATTACCCCTAGAGAGGTTGCTACGACACGCGTTAGCAGCGATGAGCGCCTCCACCTCCAGTCACGAAGAAAATGGGGTGGCATCCACGGATCGCTCTGACTACCATCGCGCGCTGCGCACATCGGACTGGTGCTACCTTTTATCGAGTCCGGGTGCGACATCAGATCAGAAGGCCCTAGGGCAACAAAATGTGAAAGCAGATACTTTAGAAAACACATATGATCAATTAATAGTAGTGAATGTGGTAAAACTGGAAGATATTTTGATAGATTAAAATCAAAATAAAAATACTAATGAATAGGAATAAAGTGATCGAAAAACATAACGTACACTTAAAAATAGCCTGATAAAAGAAAAAAAAAACTCTCAGATGAATTTAGCATCAAACTCCATAAAAGAGTTTATGAAAACTTGTGCCACATTGGAATTATTTTAGTTAATACATTAATACATTTAGGTATATATTAATTTTAATTTAAAATTTCAGTTTCACGAATAACTATAATAGTTTATGTAGATACAAAATAAAATAAATAATTTATTTAATTATTTATTTGGGAAACAAACAGTAGTACAATACAAAACATACAATATTTAAAAAAAAAATAGCTAAAACAATAACCAAATATGTTTCCACAATCAAAATCACATATAAGTAGACAGTGAACAAGAAGAGAAATTTAGAGATTTAAATTACAAAAAAACAAACAAAAGTAACACAATACGCACATATCATTTTATACATTAACTCACACTATAAAACTACAACACTTATCGGGCCAAATCACCCTATAAACACTCCAAAACAGCTTTTCTATATGCTACAAGTGACAAGCAAAAGATATCAGCATTAGAGAACTTAGCATCATACAACCTACAAGATCTACGGACAAAAGAGTTAGAAGCATATTTCGTTCGAGCCGTGGACATGTGGAAGGTCTGTTTAGAACGCGCGGNCACTCCAAAACAGCTTTTCTATATGCTACAAGTGACAAGCAAAAGATATCAGCATTAGAGAACTTAGCATCATACAACCTACAAGATCTACGGACAAAAGAGTTAGAAGCATATTTCGTTCGAGCCGTGGACATGTGGAAGGTCTGTTTAGAACGCGCGGAAATACGACTACATTTAAATGAAATTTTGGAAAGAAGATAGCTTGAATCAATCTCGTTATTTATTATTTTATATAAAAACATTTGATCCCTCAGTAGCCTACGATCGACTAGAGAGACAAATTCTGTCGGTTCTGGAGAGTTAAAGCGACGACAATGGTATAAAAGATGCTTAAAAAACTTTTTTTGGACTCTTTCTAGTCGCTGAATATAAATATTATATTGGGGGTTCCATGTGACGGAGCCATATTCCAATATAGCCATATTCCAATATATAATAATTAAACATTAAAATTTTATCTAAGTGTAAAGCTAATAAATTTAAAATAAATATATAATATAAATATAATATATAAATAAATAATAATATGAATATCTGTAGAAGTTGTAAGACTTGTATTAAAATAAATCGAAAAGTCACGATAAATTTGGTTACCTGTCTCACCGAGGTCCGGCCAAAAAACTCATCAAAACATTTTCTATAGACACCATTGGCGGTTTCGGAGGTTGAAGGTCAACAAATATATACTTACACCTGTTAATGGATCACTTTACGAGATATTCTTTCATGATTATCTCAAAAACCCAGAATGCAAATGATTTTATTAGATTTATTACAAAAAACAATTAAAAACAGAGGATTTTGCAATGCTTCCAAATGATCTCTGGAATACCCCGGAATATAATCCACATAATTTAAGAAATTCCTAAAACATAGTCGATTAACAATGGTCTTCATCGCAGTAAACATACCATTCTCTAATGGTTTTAAGAAAATACTGAATCAAACTATAGCTGATAAAATTAGATGCAAAATAAACAAAAAAGAAAAAACAAGAGCCTGCATTAATAATGATACTAATAGCTCTGTTACTACATATTCGCGAGATTACATTTTATTTAGCACAGATGTTACTGTCTTCCCAAATGAACTAAAGCAAGGAAAAACAAAGATTGATTGGATTAATGACAGAAAGATGCACTTGAAAATACTATAACTATTGATAACACTATTTGACAAGAATTGGAAATTTTAAGACATGAAATATATACGTAGAAAATGGAAACAAACTTAATAGGAAGAAATTAGATTAATTCAAAATTTGACCCAATAAAATTGTAGATAAAAATCATTTCAAAATCAATATACAGAATAGACACTAGCCACAAAAAAAAAGGATCAAATCTTTTTAATGTCACAAAACTATTTCCAGTCCCTATATTAAAAGAAGATGAAAATGACGAAAATGGAGAAGATTTGAAAGGAATTGGAAACGTAATTGATTTGGGGAGATGGCAAGAAAGTGGACTTCCTTTAAAGATAACTTTTTCTGCGCTTGCGTTGCTTGAAACGCAGTTCAAACTAATGTTGAATGTCATTAAAACAGCGGCGACAGAGATGGAACAATATGAAATTACAAAATTAATTTCTATGTGAACGAATTTACTATAAAAATGAACTTTAAATGTCTGTTCTTTACATATTGAATTCTTATTTAAAATTATATTAATAGGTTGGAGAAAAAGTTTCTTCGCATTTTTTAAGAAAATACACAATATTTTTAAATATAGTTTATTTACATTTAACTAAAGTATGTAGGAACCATTTTGTTCGATAGCTTTTTGCCATATTGTAGGTAGGGCATGATCCCGTTGCTATAGAAATTTTGGAGCTTCTGATCAAAATACCGCGACAATTGATTTTGGCAGTCTTCTCGTGATGTTAACCTAACACTGCCTAAAGAATTCTGAAGAGACCGAAATAGTTGGAAATCTAAAGGCGCAAGGTCAGGACTATACGGCGAATGCATTAACACCTCCGAGCCAAGCTCTCTTAATTTTTGCTGAGTGGCTAAAGATGTGTGTGGTCTACCGCTATCATGATGAAAAACCACACCCCTTCTGTTGATTAATTGCGGCCGCTTTCTCTCAACTTCTTACTTTAATCTCATCTTTATTCGCAGTAGAGTTCAGAATCGATGGTTCTGCCTGGTGGTAAAAGCTCATAATGAATAATGCCCTTCCAATCCCACCACACACACAGCATCACCTTGTTAACCCGGGTTTCGCCACAGTCTGTGAAGCCTGACCGGCCTTTGACCACGATCTTTTTCGCACGTTCTTGTCGTACGTGATCCACTTTTCATCACCAGTTATCGGCTTCTTAAAAAAATGGTTCGGTTTCATTACGTCGTAATAAAGAATCACAAATGAGTACACGGTTCATTAGGTTTCTTTCAGTGAGCTCGTGAGGTACCCAAATATCGAGCTTTTTTGTGTACCCAGTTATTTTCAAATGCGCCAAAGCTGTTTTGTGGTCAATTCCCAGTTCTTCAGCTACGTCGTAACCACTGATATGCCGACCTTGCTCCACTTTTTCGAAAATGGCATCCATTTTATCCGTAATAGGGCGACCAGAGCAACGTGCATCTTTGACATCAGAATTGCCGGATTGAAAACGCTTAAAACAACCAAATTTGTGCTTCTCTCACAGACACTGCACTAGGTCCATAAATATCGCAAATTTTTTTCGCGGCTTGCGTTGTATTTTTACCTTTTTTGTAGTAAAATTTTAAAATGTATCGAATTTCTTCATTAGATTCACTCATCTTGACAGTACGAAAAAAAAAATAACACATTTTCCTAATTTGAATTTGGAATTATCTTCTTTAAAATTTAAACTTTTAATGATACCAAAACGTAGAACTGTGAACAAACGTGATACCAGAACGTTAGAACGTAAAATAGTTATCTGTTAATCATTAGTTATTCATTATCGAATAAAAAAATTAGGAGATAGCATTTGAAACATCATAGTATCTATGATTTATCTATATACAGTGACAATGCAAGATTGCTGGAATATATATATGAGGAAGCCTCGAATTTTGTTTCAGTGTGTTTGTTAGGCACAATGAATTCTATCATCATTTTGTTGGCCCTTGGTCTGGCTGCTGTCGCAGGTATGTTCTTTTATTTTAATCTTCATGGATACATATCACGGATTATTTTATCTAAGCTTATAAGTGTTACCGTATTTACACCGTAGGGCTGTATTTTTTTAGAATAATATCAATAAATCAAAAAGGTACAACTCCCTTTTTGTTCTTATATCCTGCACTCAGAATTCGCAAATGTTTTTTATATAGCTCCATAATATAGGCTACAAAAAATCTTAAGAAAGATTAATTTGCAAAACATTGAAATTCCAACTACGTAGCTTACATACTATATTAAATTAACACGTACTTTTACTGTCCGAAGATTTGGTAACATTCAGTTGATATTATTAGTTCCTTTGGGTTTCGCTTATTGGACTTCTTTTTTTTTCTTTTCGGGTCGTGGTCCGAACCTCCTACGAGGTCCCCGCGCCTAGGGGGCGCGCGGGGTATGTGAGACTCAACGATCTGCAGGTGTTGAGAGCAGATCGCGGGCCCAAGGATTTTAGGGCCCACCCACTAAACGACTCCCCTGCACTCTTACACCCGACGTCCGATCTCCGTCCGGGGTCAGAACCCGATCAGAGTAGGGGGGTTCCCGCGGTCAACACTACAACCAGACACGCGGCGAGACCCATTTCGCTTATTTGACTAGACTAACCACCTTCGAAGCTTATTCTCGTATTTGTTATTTTAATCGCGCATTTACTGTAGTTTTAGTTGCGATGGAGAACTAAGGTTGGTCGATATGTTGTGCACAATATCGTCAATTTTTTTATGGATAATTTATTGACATTTACGTCCTTTTATACAGAAAGAACAATATTTTGAGGTTAGGCAGTTGGTATTAATTAAATAGAAAGAAAGAAAGTTTGGAAATTCGTTGAAACCTGAATAGTCTGTTAACTAGTGTCAAATTACTGAAATTAATAAGCGCAGGATTAAACCGTGAAGATAGGTTAAATTATAATTCAATGAATAACAGAGTTATTGTGCTAAGTAAGCAGAAAAGTTAGTTTAGAAGTCAATATAAAAAACGAAAAACTCGCCCAAAATTCCAATAACATTATCGTAAGATTACAAATAAATTTACTTAAAATACCTCAGGTCTTTTCTATTTTACACGGACAAAGAAGTACTGAGGAAAATTATAATAAAGGCACTTGGAATTCGTATTTTGAGTATTAAATAATTAAAAATAATATAACTACCAAATTAAATAGAAAGATTACGGGTTTTTGCCCACTTCTTATTCCACCTAAGTAACTGTTGTAGAAGAGACTTCCACACGAAAGTAATGAAATGATGAGGTGCAGGTATTGGATGAAAAAGATGTGGCACGAAAACTCAAAAACAAAAAACAAAAATGTAAAGTGAAAATGGGCTCCATCCAATGAGTAAAACTTACTATACTATTATTTGTAGGCGGGCACTCTGTATTTTTTTAAGAATGAGGGATTACTAGTGTCCCATAGGCCTTCCCAGTTTCACTAGGACAGGTAGGCGAGCAAAGGCTCAGCCAGGAGGTCCGCGCCAGCCATTCACAAGAGGTCCACCAGTAGTTACGCAAATTATAATTTTGCGGGTTTGATTTTTATTACACGATGCTATTCCTTCACCGTGGAAGTCAATCGTGAATTAAGTACGTACTTTATTAGAGAAATTGGTACTCGTCTGCGGGATTCGAACATCGGTGCATCGCTACACACGAATACACCGGACGTCTTATCCTTTAGGCCACGACGACTTGATTAACTTTTTAAATTAAATGCCTGATCTTACATACTTTTGGAATATTATATGTTGTCTAGTAAATATTCTATTCTTCTGCTATGCAATTAAATTAGGACGACTTAAATGATGAAAATGAAAAAAAAAAAATTAGTTGATCTTGCACTTAATGTAAAAACTAAAATTTAACCTCTGGTGTCAAATTCGGTAGTCTTATTGCTGTTCTTAACCGAGATATCAAAAATAAAATAAATTAGCTTTGTTTCTAGGAATCTTTTGTATAGAGGAAAAAGCTATATATTATACTATTGTTTATTTATTTTTTATTGCTTAGATGGGTGGACGAGCTCACGGCGTACTTGGTGTTAAGTGGTTACCGGAGTTTATAGACAGACATCTACAACGTAAATGCCGCCACCCGCCTCGAGACATGAGTTCCAAGGACTCAGTTTTTACTGTACAACAGCTGCCCCACCCTTTAAACCGAAACGCATTACTGCTTCACGGCAGAAATAGGCGGAGTGGTTGTAATTACCCTTGCGGACTCACAAGACTTCCTTCCACCAGTAATAGTGTAAATTATAATTCGGATTTGATTTTTATTACACAATGTTATTCATTGAGCGTGGAAGTCAATCGTGAACATTTGTTAAGCATGTATTTCATTAGAAAAAATGGTACTTTTCAGCGGGATCGGAATATCGGTGCATCGCTAGACACGCTAGATACGAATGCACCAGACGTCTTTACCTTACAGGCCACGAAATCTAATAAAATTCACAACATGAGATTTCTTTTGCTGAGTTTTGAAAACAATGGCTCACAGTTGGAACAAAATTTATTTAATAGGACTAAACAGCTCACAGCTTTATTATTCCATCTAATTTATTTATTTTTAGTTTATTTATTTTCTAACGTCTCTTAACTTCAGTAATACCATAAATCCTAAAGTACGAACGCGAGAGACGATGTTTAATTATTTCCTGTTGATACATTTAATTTACATGATTATTTTTGTTTCAGCTGTTCCAACAAACCCCCAAAGGATTATTGGTGGCTCGACAACCACCATTGACCGGTACCCCGGTATTGTTTCTCTGTTGTTTACAAGGAATTGGAGTCAATGGTGGCAGAATTGCGGTGGAAACCTTCTTAACCAGAGATCTGTTCTTTCTGCTGCTCATTGCACATTGTAAGTCGAAACTTTCTGATTTTTCTGTCTTCTTTTTTTATAATTTAAAAGTAAATACATCTTATTACTCTGAAGGAATTATCACAGAAAATACTGACACCTCCATTTTTTTCCCTCCTCTAAGCTTGAAAGAAAGTTTTACGAGGTAAATAATATTATTGTTTCAGCGGTGATCGAACGGATGCATGGCGTTTTCGTGTTGGTTCCACCTGGGCCAACAGTGGGGGTGTTGTACATCTCTTGAACAGAATTATCTATCATCCCAATTATAACAGATTTACAGCTGACAGTGACCTCTGCATCTTACGCAGTAATACCAACATAGTTTTGAACAACAACGTTCGTCCTGTTAATATTGCTGGTGCCAATTACAATCTTGGTGATAACCAAGTTGTTTGGGCTGCTGGTTGGGGTGCTACTTCGGTAAGTTAAATAATGTTATTATCGCTTTACAAAATTATTTTGTCCGGTATTCTGTCCATTTAATTGATCATTAAACGAACACAAACAAACAGATACAATTAAGGAAGAGTATGATAATTTTGAATAATGCACGATTTTCAGGTCGGAGGGTCTGGTTCCGAGCAGCTCCGTCACGTCCAGGTCTGGACCATCAATCAGAATGCCTGCGCCCAACGTTACAGACCCATTAACCGTTCTATCACCGCTAACATGTTGTGCTCTGGTGTTTTGGACGTTGGTGGTCGCGACCAGTGCCAGGGTGACTCCGGTGGTCCTCTCCTCCACAACAATGTCCTTGTTGGTGT